TCTGGGAGCTAAAGGTTTTTGGATATCATTGCATGGGTACAGTTCTCCCCGTTTCCGGTCTCTCTCTCTTTTCCTAGAACAATTGTAACAGAAGCATTTTATTTATGGAAGCATTTAGCAGGAGGTTCCCTAAAGTATGAATGATTTCACTGAAATCACTAGGACAAAAGGCAGGTGTTCCACCAGGACACCTATTCTGTGTTAGCAGCTCACTGGGAGTGAGAATCAGCTTACAGTGCCTACATGAAAATTGAACTTGGTTCTGCTAACACCATGAAAATCTACTCTGAGTCCTGGAATCAGTTTTGACCTTTCACTTGGCCATCAAAATCCCTTTTCTTTTTTGTGTTTCGTGGCTGCAGTAATTACAGAGTCACGTTTCTGTCTCTTTCTTCTCCCCACCCCACTCTCTCCAATAAGGAACCATTTGTACAACTCGAAGATGATTGTTTTTTGAGAATGTTGCCAATATAATCTAAAAATCCATTGAGTTTCACTGCAGTCAGAAAGTTATGCATCAACTTTCTGTGTATCCAAATCCTCAGAGCCTTAGGGGAAAAAGCCATTGAAGTGAAATGTAAAAAGAATGTTAATGGTTTATGCAGAAAGACAGAATTTGGAGGGGATGAGAAAGGAGAGAGAAAAACAAGTATGATGTGCTTTTTGCAATTGCTCTGATGGCAAATGTGGCACATAAATTCTGTCTTTCCTGATCACCTTTGTATCACCCCCCTGGTTTCAGTGTCTTGGGTTGTCTCCAGGTGCTGCCACAGTGTTGGTGCTGTGGAGCACTTGAATTCCTACCCAGTGTGCACATGGAGATGTGTAGGTGTAAAATCTTGCCCAGCTGTACAGACCAAAGCCTTGCGAGACAGTGAATCCTCCTGATAAATCCTGAGTTTTTCAGAAAAGTCTGCTTCTTTCCTTCCATGGTGGGATGTTTCTGATAACTGCCTTGTGTCTAAATGTTTTCATGCTCAGCCACTCTAACTTTCATTTTACCTTGTTTGTATTTAAAGAATTTCTGATTTTTTACTTCTCTTAAATAGACTGGGAAAAATTGGCATTTCTGTAGTTTCTGTGAGAAAGGGGTTTTATTTTCTGTTCTGCTAACTGTTGGTTCTGCTCTGCAGTGCTTCATCATCTGTCATTCCTGGAGGGAGAGGGGATGATCAACTCCCTGTCCCTGTTAATGGGAATGGGGAATGCTTTGCTTTCCTGGTAATGCTGGTGCCATATCAGAGGACAGGGTATTGATTTGCTTGACTGCTGGTGTGTGGTGCATGACAGAAAGAGAAATGGAACTTTGTGAACGTGGAGTAAATGGTGCTGCTGCTGATACAGAACTGATTGAGGGAAAAGCAATCAATCAGATTCTCTCTGCTGGTACCAGTGCTACCTTCAATTTAATATGTAGGAAACCAACAGTTGTTTCAGAGTTTAAATCAAAGAGTGTCCTGTGCTTAACTCAGATTCTTACAAAAATGACTTGGAGAATTTTTGGGTTTAGTATGCTTTGCTTTGTACCTTACCAACATGTGATCTGATAATTTAGAAATATTGAGCTGACATTCATTAATTCTTCTTTTTTTCTTGTCGAAAAGCCACAGATTATTTTTTCTAGATTGCTTATTACTATTTTAAATTGACTGGTCTTTAAATAATCTTAACTTGTAAATAGAGTTGGTTTTAGTCTCAAATATCTGCAGAAGGAGTTCATCATAGCTGCAGGTAATTGGACTTTAATATCTGTAAAACATCTGGAATGAACAGGCCCATTCTCTCTTCTGGCAGATGTTTTGCAGGTATTAGACTTATATGCAGTTACCTTTGGGTACTTTAGCAGTACACAATAGCATTCATGTGTAGATGACTGTAATGTTCTTTTCTCTCCTCCACCTTATGAAATGAATGGGATAATTTATCCTTTTTGGAAAGAGAGAGAAGTGTTTTAGTGAAAGCTTAAAGGGACTTCCTGAAATTCCTGGATTGATCCCTGCTCCCAAGTCCTGTCATGTAGGGTGGTCTCAGCTCAGCCTTTGCCCCGTGGAAACCCCTGAGCAGCAGGAATTCTGCACAGGAATTCTGCACAGGAATTCTGCACAGCTCCTCCCAAAGCCCCCAGAGCTCCAGTTTGGAATCTTTGGCTCAAGTTTCAAGGGAGTTCATTTCTGCTCAGGAGGTGGTTGGGGACATGGGCTTGGTATTCAGGCTGTGGGAGTGCAGGGAGGAGCTGAACCACGTCTGCCTGGGAGAGTTTGGTGCTGCAGCCCTTGGCAGTCCTGGAGTTCTCCCTGTGAACCCTGGGATGATCAGACAGTCCAAGGCCAAACCTTCCCAGGCAGTTGGACAAAATAGTTCTATGAGCAGATGTTCTAAATAATACAGTAAAATAAAGAGCCATTTGGACTTTTTATAAACATATTTTGTCTTACATAGAAAAATGGCTTTTTCCTTTTTGAAATTTATTTTAGCATTTGTTTTTTCAGAAATGAAAAAAGAAAAGATTGATTTATTAGTTGGGAAGTCTATCAGTTGGATTACCTCAAAAATAAATAAATTACCTTTATTAATCCCAGCAATTTCAGTAAATGGTATTAGAATTTGGAACTTGCTGTTGGAGGGCAGGGTAGATTTCAGATAGAATATCAGCAAAACTTGACCATATTACAAGGAGTGAACCCTTACAACAAGGTAATATTATTCTCCCTAAACTCTCTAAGGATCTTCTTTCATACTTTTCATAACATTCAGTGCAGTAGTTGCTTTTACAACTCAAGATCAACCAATTTAATCATTCTCCTTTATTTTCGATTTTATTTTATTTTTCTCTCTGAGAGCCCAGAGCGAGACTTGACAAATATAAAGTATTGATTGACAAACAGGAGTGAGCTGTCTGCCTTTCTCTGAAGGTAGACCTGTGAGCAGGCAGGTGAAAGGTGCCACGACAAGCTGAGGGATGTCAGGTCTGCAGAGTCTGCACGTCCCTCCCACCACAGCACCTGGAAAAATGAGCCCAGAACTGACTGCACTGAGTGCAGCGTTTGTGCTTCACACAGTCAGGGCACAAATGTTCTCCCCTCAGCCACCCTGTGAAGTGGGCCTGTGCTGCCATGAGCACAGTCATTAGTGAGCTCCATCCCTGGGCCAGGGATCTGCCTGGAAAAGGGCCTTTTACAGCAAATGAAGCAGATCTTGCAGTGCTTGAAATCCAGTATCCTGCAGGAACTGCCTGTCAACAGCCAGTGCCCCAGGAATTTCCCTTCCTGTCCAACTGCTGCTCCCCTGGGAGAAGGGGCACAGGAGGGGAAATATTCCTGTTCCAGAAGGGGGAGAGAACCTTCTTTCCCTGCAGGATTTGGGAAGGTGACAGAAGCTTTTGTTATTGAGAGGTTCAGGTGCAAAACCAAAGTGTATTTACTGGGATGCAGCTTTTCCAGGAGTCCCCTGAGAACCAGGGGGGGCCAGGCAGGAGGAGACCTCACCCTGCAGCCCAGGGAGGGTGGGGGGAGTTGCCAGGGTGGGACCTTAACAGAGTCAGAGTCACAACTTCCAGAAATCTTCACCACGAGAAGCAGTTGGCCTAAAAAAGTTAAAGATTAGAATTTCTTGTCAAAGGTTTTCAAGCTGTGTTTCATAGCTCAAGTCTGTTAGTTCAGAAACTACACTAATTTCAGTGAGAAGTACAAGTATTCCTCTTTTCTTTAAACGTTCAATATTTTCTCAGTATTTCAGGTCATTTTCAAGGAAACAAACTTTTTAAGTGTGGTGCTCTTTTATTGTGTGCCTTTTGCTGTCTTTGTATTGGAGGGAAATAGAATGATGTGCAGAAACAGTTTTATAGATTCTGTGCATAGTGCATTATTCCTTGAAACTAAGTGGTATTTGAGCACTCTAAAATGGTATTTAGTGTATAATTTTGTCCTTTGTGGATGAGAACTTAAAATCATGATTTTATATATATATACACATGTATATATAATTTTATTATCTCTGTTTCCAAAAAAGTCACAGTCATTATTTGATGTTCAAATTGTTTTTATTTGCAATTTTCAATGACAAAAGTCTTTAGAAGGCTACAAACATTAATGAATATCTTATTTCCTGGTTTTGCAATAGATTTATTTCTGATGTCTGTCCACCAGCTCTGGAGTGTGCAAGTTGGCTCAGCTGGTGTGGCAAACCCAGATTCCTGTTTCATGCACATGTTTGTGACTGTGTGAACATGTGTTCTGGGGTGTTCTTTGGGTGGGGGGATTTTTTTGGTTGGTGGTTTTTTGTGGGTGTTTTTTACCAGTGATGGATGTTGCTGCATCTGCTCCAGTTGCTTCTTCCAAGGCCTCTTCCAAGCCTCCCTGAACGTGGATGTCTTTTATTGCATTCAGACCATTTTAGAAAAAGGATTATGCTGTTTTTACAAGTAAAAACTAAATGGGGTTGAACTGGAGTTTGTCCTCTTCATTCACAGTCTGGTTACAAACACAGAGCACACAGAGCCAGCTGTATGTTGAATTATCACCTGTGTTACTGTCACTGTCCTCTCTCCTGTACTGACCATGGTCCACCAGGCAGAAAAGCATCTCTTTCAGGGCACCAGGAGGAAATGATTCTGCTGTCAGTGCCCAGGGACAGAAATTGCAGCAAACTCCTGCTATTTTATCCAACCTTGAGATCAGAAGTTACTTTAAACTGAATGTACAGTTGCTATCTAGAGATGGGATGTGTATAGTCTTAATTTGGTTTTAAAGGTTTGTTTTATTGATATATTCATGTAATATATCTTAAAAAAATACAAACCCAACAAATATTATAATACACTAAGATTACCTTTTGAAATTATATTTACAATGACCTGTGTCTGTATGTTTTTTACATACTGTGTTATAAATGGTTTAATTTTTGAAATATATTTGAAGTTATGCTTTGAGTGAATTGTCTGGACTGTTCTCTGTGGTGTCAGAAGAGCTGTGGATGTTAATTGCCTGCTCCTGTTTTTGTAGATGGCTACACCACAGATGACATTGAGTTTTACTGGCGTGGGGGTGATAATGCTGTCACAGGAGTGACCAAGATCGAGCTGCCCCAGTTCTCCATTGTAGACTACAAACTTATCACCAAGAATGTTGTTTTCTCTACAGGTTTGTGGAGGGGAAGCTAAAAGGGGAATTGGCTGGGAAGACTTTTAGAAATGGGTTAATTCACAATGTGCAGTTCAGGATCTGAGCAATAATTTTAGAAACAGGAGTAAATGAGAGCAGCAGCTGTGAATTTTGGAAGAGGAAGGTTTTTACAGCTCTCTGGTGTCCACTCCCCTCTGCAGAGGGACAGTCATCTGTCATGTTGAGGCTCATCAGATGAGCTCTATTTTCTGTTTTCCTGTGACACCTAATTAAGCCACTTACACACCTCAGTGTATCAGTGTGCTCCCAACCAGTCACAACCCAGCCTGCAGGAAATTAGGAACCTTTTTCCTCCCTGTTTCTGGATGCTCCTTTTACCAAGCTGTGGATGTATTGGATAATTATTTTGTCATCAGTGTAAAACCTCTAAAATCCTTGTTCCACAGGATTTTCAGTTTAGCCTATTCTAGCAAAGTGTATGAGTTTTTGAGGGCTGAAAAGATGCTGTCTGAGGAGAAGGAGAAAATCGAATTGAACCTTAAATTGTTCAAGAAAGGCAGGAGTTGGGTTGGGCTGTTACTTTATGATGTTCTCTACCCACTTGGGAAACCTGTAAGTGTGTTTGAAAAATTATCTTCAAACCTCAGATATGGGTAGAAATCATCTTTGAAGGGACTGTAGAAAGATGGTGCATCCCAAATTCTTCCAAACCAAGCAGAGATGGGACTTGAATAATGATTTCTAGGCACCCATTTCAACAAGTGTTTCATCCAGTAAATTACTTCTGGTATCCAGAGACAAAGGACAGGTGTTGAATTCCTGGGAGAGAATGAGGGTTCCCCTGAAGTGGGCACACCACAGCCTGCCATGGAAGAGACATTTCTGTGCTCTCTTGCTCTGACATGTGTTTTGGCTGTTGATTGTTGGACATTATGATGCAGCAGAGATGCACCCAGAGCATCCTTGTACCCTTAGAATAAAAGATGCTTTAATCCTAGTTCTTGCTAGAAATTCTGCAGCTGATTATCCTGGATCTTTCAGCTCTGAGTGTACTCTGTGTTGCATGAAATAATAAAACCAGAATGATAGAAAAATGATTTCAGACTTTATACAAGTAAATTACGGCCATGCCAAATATTCTCTTTTAGGTGCCTACCCAAGGCTGTCTCTCAGCTTTAAACTTAAGAGAAACATTGGCTACTTCATTCTGCAGACCTACATGCCTTCTATTCTGATCACTATCCTATCCTGGGTTTCCTTCTGGATTAATTATGATGCTTCAGCTGCAAGAGTTGCTTTAGGTAGGCCTGTTTACACCTCTCCTGCACTGTGCATTAGCTGAGTGTTTTTCTGGCTTCTGGCTTAGTGGATAGTGCATGAGCTGAAAAAAAATTCTGTTAGATATTTTATGTCTGGCTTGTTAAACTTTGTATTGTTTGAATCAGCATTTAAATCATCACAATTTAAATAAAAATGAAAGGGATTTAGTGTCTGAATGAGCTAACTGTGTAATCATTGTAACCAGAATTAGCCTGAGTGTCTGGACATTTTCTGTTCTTTTATTGCTTGTTTGTCTCCAAAGAGACTGCACCTAGTTTGCTTTTGCCCGTGGCAGGCCTGTGTTACGGATTATAAATTGCTTTTCCTTTCAGGTATGAATTAAATAAGGTTTTACTAGGCTTCCGTGGCTCACTTGTCCTTGAGGGATGAAGCTGCACCTCAAATACTGTGTCCAGTTCTGGGCCCCTCAGAATTGACTTCAGGAAGGACACTGAGGGGCTGGAGCAGGTCCAGAGGAGGGAACAGAGCTGGGCTAAAGGTTGGACTCAATGATCTTAAAGGTCTTTTCCAACCTAAATGATTCTATGATTCTATGGGGTTTTTTTCCTTACTGTTACCTTACATTCCAAATTTGTTCCCCTGATTAATCTCTCGAGTACTGTCTTATCTCATCACTACTCCCATGTTTATACTGAGCCCCTCATCAGAGGATCCAGGCATGTTGCAAAAATAAATATCTGTATCTGTTGCCAAATAGATACAGATAAATCAGTAGAAATCAGACTGATTCCTACCAGTACAGATCTTGTATAGCTAAAATAAGTAAACCCCTGTAAAACATACTATTGAGAATTTGACATTTAACCTTAGAGAATAGTCTGAGCTTTACCAGCCTTTCTGTGTGGCATTTTCCCTTGAGAGTTTGAGACTGCAGATATCCTGAAAATGCCTGAGTAAAGCAAGATAACAGTAACTGTAGCCTGGTAATTTATAGCTGAGACTCGTTCCAGAAGGTTGCTGGAACCCTGTTGCAGAGGCCACCAGATTTGTCAGGCACAACTGGCCCTTAGTGAAGCCCTGTTGGAATTGTTCAACCTGGAGCAGGGAAGGTTCCAGGGAGATCTTAGAGCACCTTCCAGTGCCTCAGGGGGCTACAAGAGAGCTGGAGAGGGACTTTTTACAAGGGCGTGGAGTGACAGGACAAGGGAGAATGGCTTTAAACTGGCAGAGGGCAGGGTTAGAACAGATCTTAGGAAGAAATTCTGCCCTGTGAGGGTGGTGAGACACTGGAACACGTTGCCTGGAGTTCTGGCTGCCCCATCCCTGGAACTGTTCAAGCCAGGGTAGATGGAGTTATGAGCAACCTGATCTAGTGGAAGGCTCCCTGCCCATGGCAGGGGGACTGGAATGAGATGGTTTTTAAGGTCCCTTCCAACCCAAACCTTTCTAAGATTCTGTGAATAAGGACAGAGTTTGGAGATGTCTTTTTTCCAACAGGAAAAAAAAAAGTAATATTTTTCAACTCTAGCATTTGAATATTATGAACTATGCTAGGAAATTAAAATTATTTCACTCACTAGACTTGTCACTTCTTTTTTCCAGGAATCACAACCGTGCTCACAATGACAACCATTAACACCCATCTCCGAGAGACTCTTCCCAAAATTCCCTATGTGAAAGCCATCGACATGTACCTCATGGGCTGTTTTGTGTTTGTGTTCATGGCCCTGCTGGAGTATGCCCTGGTGAACTACATCTTCTTTGGCAGAGGCCCCCAGAGGCAGAAGAAGGCGGCGGAAAAAGCCGCCAGTGCCAACAACGAGAAGCTGCGGATGGACGTCAACAAGGTAACTGAGCTGGGAGGACTGGGAGCATCTCCCAGCAGGGCAGGTCCCACTGCTCCAGACAGGTGAAAGTGTCCTTTCTGTAGAAAAGCAGTGCAATTGTGTGACCTTGTCCTGGCTCTGCAGAGCAGCAGGTTCAGCCACCTCGCACTGACCGCTGCCCTCTGGCCTGGAAGGGTGAGGGACTTGTTTCTGAAGCTTTACTGAGAGGTGGTTTCTTAGGCAGGATGGAGAGTTAAATATGTATAATCTGTTTCCAAAGGAAAAAAATCCAAAATGATGGCTGTAGCTGATATTCTAGTAAGAGCTGTATGGAACGTTGGAACTAAAACCTAAATTTAACCTGCTTTCATAAATCTTTCAGAGGAGCTGGATAAGAAATATTTGCTGCGGAAGTGTTTAAAGCTTGACAAGTTTGCTTTTTTTCAACATATAATGGCCCAGGATACTATTGACTAAATGAGGAACTGCTCAGAAATAAAGCATCAACGTACTGTGTACTTAATTTTGAATCTAAAAATGGTCCCCCAGGGAGGGAGAATTGAGGCAGAAAAGACATTTGCCAAGATACACACTTTGGGAAAAGAATCCATTATGCTTAATGAAAATTGGGCACTTATCATAAAGCATTTGTAATTTGTCACTCTGACCATTTTGGATGAGTTTCACACAGTGGCAAATCTGGGCTGAATGCAAAAATGTACTCAGTGTGAAATGTAGAACCTTTCACACACATGCAAAATTGGAAAGTTAAATAAAGTTAAATTATCTTTGAGGGAGTTTTTGTTAGTTTGGGGGTTTTTTTGTTGTTTTTTTTTTTTGTTTTGTTGGGGGTTTTTTGTCAAGGGAAGCTTTTTGAATTTGTGATTCAGCATGATACTCCAAGGAGAAAAAAATCAAAGAATTAAAAAACAAAACCAAATTAGAAAAAAAACCAAGGGATTATTTGTGAATTGGAAACATAAGTTTCATACAGCTCTAGTGATGGAATTTCTCATGTTTGTTCAGAACTTCTACACTTCTACACACATCGTGTGCCTGCAGACAGAACATTTTGTTCTGTGTTTGCTGCAATAACAAAAACCCATCACGTGTTGATAGAACAAAACAGTTTTGTAGGTTATAGTTGTAGCCTTTTAAGATGGAGAGTTATGTTGCTATGGCTCAGATTCTCACCCATTCATTAGGGGTTTTTTTAATTTTTAATTCAAAAGAAACAGTTTTAATGAATGGAGGTAAATGGATAATGATGAGATTAATTTTGATGTTATGTTAACATAGATCATCTTTTACCTCCATAAAGTTCACCTTTTTCTTTCTATTGGTGATTTTTCAGCAATGAAAAAAAAAAAAGCTGTGAGTTTTTATTTAATTTGTCAAGTTGTGTTGTTTTTTTTTAATTCAATTTCCCTTTAATTTCAATTAAACAATCAGTGCTGTGAACTACCCTGTAAGTAATTTCATAAGACTAGATCTGCATTTAGCTGAAGTCTTTCCTCCAGTATCAGTGAAAAGTGAAGGTCCATGGCTGTCAGTGCCACCACACTTTCACTTGTGTATTTTTGATATTCTTATTTATACAATAGATGTTTCTGCTGTAATAGTCCAAGCCTAGTGGCAAATGGCTGACCATGGAGTAGAATATGAAAGCACCAACCAGTGTGGGAACCCAGTGCAGTGAGCAGAGGAATTAATTCCAATAACTGTTGTGGGAATTTGCCTACAGGATTGACACAAAGTACTCTGGGAACAACTTTATTTAGATTTTCTTTGTGCTGAACCTTTTACTTAATATCCTAGGCCAGCCTGGTTCACAGGGTCTGGCAGTTCTGCCCTGGTACCCAGATCCCCTCTGACCTGAGAATCAGGTTTGAAGCCCTTTGAGCAGTGACAGGGAACAAACCAGGAGAGATCAGAGGCCACGTGCTGCTGCTCTGGGAGAGGAGAGGAGCCAACAGCTGCTCCTGTGTCTGACCAGCAGTAGAAATCAGATTCATATCTAATGGACCTGAATATTTTATCTATTAAGGGGAGCCAAATATTATATAATTATTTTCATGTATAAGAGTTAGAAATGGGCTTGAACTGCTGAATTTAGTTCAGATGCAGTTGTCCATAAAAGCCAAAGTCTTTTAGAAGTGGGACCAAATGAACACTCCATCTGTAATTAGGATCCAGTAGTGAAGGACTAATTTTGCAAGATATGTGTTCTTTTGTGGTTCCACTTGAATCACTATATGCAATATTATAAATTCATTATAAATTCATTAGAATCAGATACTCTGTGAGAAAAGATTAATGACAGAGTAATAAACTTCAAAACGTGAGGATGAAAACTTGTGCAGGGTTCTGTCCCTGCATTCAGCACAGGCATTGTAGAACAGGGGCATAAATAGGTACTGGAAGTGCTGCTCCTGGTGCAGCATCTTTGTTTATTCGTTATAGAGCAGAAAATCTGTAAGAGATTTCTTCAAATTCCAGCACCCTTGTTTGGTAACAGCCTCTTACAACTTCTCAATCCACAAAAGGTGGTGAGAGGAGAAGTGCTGTTCAGTCCTTTCATCCACAGCAACTTGCAAAATCAAGGGAGAAGTGAATCCATGTTCCCTTTGTGGTGTTGGATTCTCTGCTGTGGAGAGGTTCCAGGGCGTTGGTGGTGTCTCTGGTTTTGCTTGGTGGTATCAGAAGGTGCTGGAGAGACTATGGAACAGTGCAGAAGCACAAGAGAAGCTGGTTTTCCAGGACTGTGGTATCTGCTGAATCCATTGGAATCCCTTGGAGATTTGGTGACTCAGGGGGGGAATGTCCTGGTTTTCCATCAGGGTGGCTGCAGAGCTTCCCCATGGCTGTCCAGTGGGAAACTGTGGCCAAATCCTTCTTCAGATTTCATATCATACTCATATCAAATGCCAAATACTGGAGTTTGAGGTTCGTTCTGTTTTAGGTTTTTTTTAAATAATAGACTAGTTTACGTTGGAAGGGACCTTTAAAGGTCACCCACTCCAACCCCCTGCAGTGAGCAGGGACATCTTCAGGTAGATCAGGTTGCTCAGAGGTCCAACCTGACCTCGAATGTTTTCCAGGGATGGGGCATCCACCACCTCTCTGGGCAACCTGTGCCAGTGTTTCATCGCTCTCATTGTAAAAAACTTATTCCTATATCTAGTCTGAGTCATCACAGCAGATTGTAACTTCATGTACTCCCTGATTTTCAAAGATTGTTGGACCTGTTTGGGGTAAGGGAAAGGAAGAGAAGGAATCGAGCTTCTGTCTTCATTGGCTTCTTGGATACTGAAACCTGAGTAATAAAATCATGGAGAAATTTAAAGAACATAAAACTCCAGGAAGATTCAGACTCAATTACCAGCAGATATGTTACCACAGACTTGTTAAATCATATTGGACTTGCTTAATTTTCTTTGCAGGGAGTTCAGAATAAAATGGCTTGAATATCATCATTCCACCCATGGAACCGCTCAAGCTGCATCCAGCAGTTTGTTCCTTTAGTCTGAACTCACCATCTTTTGCCTTTGTCAGGGCTAATTTTTCTCTCTGTAAACAGTGGTATTGTTGTTTACAGATAAATCACTGGCTTTCTTCTCCCTCTAGACAGCCTTCCTTCACTGGAGAAACCATTCACACCATTTCCTCACCTCTCTTTTCAAGTTTATCATCTTATGTTGTGTCTTCAAATGCCTTTATTGCCTTGATAGTTTCAAGTTTCTTAATCTCTTCTGTTCTGAGTGGCAGAGTTCTGCAAGAGTGAATAAGGGTAGGCAAACTGGGAGGGTTGTGTTTCTGCTTGAGGGCCTAGTGTGCCATAAAGGAGGGTTGTGTGTACTCTGAATATACATTCTGAGCCGTTGTTATCCCCTTTTTATTCCCTGGACTTCTGTGTTTTAAGTAAGAATGTTGATGGTCATCAGCAGCCTTTTAATCCTTTGTAGGCACATTTCATTCTATCTTTTCTTTAGGCTCAGGGCACTAATCTAATAGATTGTCTGTGCTTCTTCAAGATGATTAACAGATATGTAAAATATAGGGCCAAATTCCAACCTTCCCAATAGTCTTCAACTGACTGTCCTCCTGTGGGTGACTGCACTTCCCAGAAGCAGCATTGTGCTTTTCATGTGTAAATACCTCTGGAATGTGATTTGAGTTGGATGCAGTTGCAGTAACCATTGAATCCTATATTTTTCCAGCCTGGCTTAGAGCACAGGGAGTGCTGCAAGTGCACAGGGCTGTACCTGCAGTACCTGATAACAGAAGTTACAGATAAAACTACCTCTAATTTTGCAATCATGCTGCTGTTATTGTGAGCAGTAATAAAGCAACTTCCCTCTGGAAAAGAGGGGGAAAATGTGAATGTGTTATACAACAATTCATAAAACTGTTTATACAGATTTATTCAGTCATTTTTTTTTAAGAAATGTGAAGTGACATTGCTAACCTCTGCATGTTTAGATAAGGTTTCTTTTCTGAAGACAAACCTTTTTTAAAATATACTGAATGTATTTTTAAAACAATGAGTAATTCTTTACTCAGTAGTCTTTGTATTAGGTGAGGTGTTCAGGCAGGAGGCAGTGACAGGGCATTGCTGCTGCACAGTGCAAGTCACAAACGTGGGAACTAATGACAGACTAATGACATTTTCCTATCCAAAATTTGAAAGCCAAGTGAAGAACATGGAACTTCAACATGATAATTAGATTAAACAGCATATTAATAGATTTGAATACAATAGAATTGTACTTGAAAAATTAATGTAGAGCTTAGGGAGCTAAGAATGTTTAAACAAACACAGGTATCTTTGCAGTTCATTGCTCTTCTGGCCAACTGTCCTTATATCTGGATTAGCACAGAGTTGCTGAAGGACTTGAGATGGCAAGGAGATAGCAAACAGGAGCTTAACCTGCCCTTAGCTGCTCTTCACTTGGCACCTTTCTTCTCCTTCAAGTTGTTTCAGCTGCTGAATTTTATTTCCCTGCAACTTTTTGACCAAG